CTAGCGTTTCGGAGGAACTTTCTGCCCCATCTCCGGTCTAGTAGGTGGTAACTAGCGTTTCGGAGGAACTTTCTGCCCCATCTCCGGTCTAGTAGGTGGTAACTAGCGTTTCGGAGGAACTTTCTGCCCCATCTCCGGTCTAGTAGGTGGTAACTAGCGTTTCGGAGGAACTTTCTGCCCCATCTCCGGTCTAGTAGGTGGTAACTAGCGTTTCGGAGGAACTTTCTGCCCCATCTCCGGTCTAGTAGGTGGTAACTAGCGTTTCGGAGGAACTTTCTGCCCCATCTCCGGTCTAGTAGGTGGTAACTAGCGTTTCGGAGGAACTTTCTGCCCCATCTCCGGTCTAGTAGGTGGTAACTAGCGTTTCGGAGGAACTTTCTGCCCCATCTCCGGTCTAGTAGGTGGTAACTAGCGTTTCGGAGGAACTTTCTGCCCCATCTCCGGTCTAGTAGGTGGTAACTAGCGTTTCGGAGGAACTTTCTGCCCCATCTCCGGTCTGGTAGGCGGTAACTAACGTTTCGGAGGAACTTCCTGGCCCGTCTCCAGTCTGGTAGGCGGTAACTAGCCTTTAGGAGGAACTTTCTGACCCATCTCCGGTCTGGTAGGCGGTAACTAACGTTTCGGAGGAACTTCCTGACATGTTTCCAGTCTGGTAGGCGGTAACTAAGATTTCGGAGGAACATACCGCCTGAATTTGCAGTATTTTAAGTAGCACCCAACGTGACAGAATAATTTTCGGGATCATTTTCCCTCTGAAAATGGGGAAGGAAGTTCCTCCGAAATCTTAGTAACTATCTACCAGCCTACACGTCTTCATATCTCAGACAAACAAAAAACAAACTCCGTGATTTCAGTCCTCAAGCGAACTATCCCAGAAGATCATAATATAATACACACCGTCATGGAAGCCTCAAACGTAATACAGGTCAAATTTCGCCGTTTTTCAATTGTTCATTAATATAAAATTTTGGGAAGCGCACAGGAAGCCTATCAGACACTGGCCACGTTAAGTAAGTCTATTTCAGGGGGACTTGGCGCGTCTCCAAACTGCAGAAGGGGGGGGGACGGTTCCCGGATATGGAGTGTAGCTGCGAATGTATCGAGTGAGCAGTCGCGGACAAGAGACGAAGTGTGATCCTCCAATTCGAGGGTTGGGGAGACCCAACAACTCCAGCATGCTGCGGTGTGGCAAACAGCCCCGAAGTTGGTCGAGCACTGGTCAACAAAATAACAAATTTTGGATTTCCACGAAAGGCAGGAAATCTTTTAATTAACTGGGCGGAATTAGTTAGTCTGTTAATAATAAAATTTAGATTTTCGTCGGGTCACCATGTTGGTATTTCTCAGCACAAAATAAAAGTTTCATACAATATTGGAGACACTTGTCCCTGAACTTATGCAAGCCTACACACAGCCCAAAGCCAGTCCAACACTGATTCTCCAAAAAGCTTGTGTCAGAAAAAAGTAATAAATAAAATAAGTTGCTCTTGGGGAGACAGTCCTGAAAGAATTGTTAATTTTGCTGTTACATGCATTGGTTCGAGTCCAAGTCAATTTATTCTTGTACTCTTTCACTATAAGAGCCCGAGATAGCGCAGTCGGTATAGCGACTGGGTACGGACTGGACCACCGAGGGGTCGAAGTTCGAGTCCATATAGGGTCAAGAATTTTCTCTTCTCCACGTCATCCAGACCGGCTCTGGGGCACACTCAGCCTCCTATGCAATTGGTACCGGGGGCACTTTCCTTGGGGGTAAAGCGGCCGGAGCGTGAAGCTGACCATTCATCTCCAACTAGTGCCGAGGTCAAGAATAAGTGTATCTGTACCTCCACTCCCCCATACGTCTTCATTGCGCAGTGCTTAATTAGTTAAGTACAAGGAAAACTTTACCTTACCTTATTCTTTCACTATAAGGAAAGAACTGGGACCATGATATGAATTTTCGCAGTAACCATGGTAACGAACCCTGCTCTGCATGTCATATAGAAGGCATGCGTCTGAATCCAAGAGCCTACACATGTAAGATGTAAGCAGACAGCACAGACAAATAAAGCCTTTCTTGAAATTGCAGTGTGGATTTCTCTACGCGGGCATACGCGTGCAGAACTTTCCCTTATTGAACCAAATTCAATTAGTTCATCGGTTACTGCTAACAGAGCTCCTGCTTTCCGCAGGACTAAAGAGAATTATCATGCTGCTGAAGCCTACAGTTGATTGCTCTGAAATCAAGAAGTTCTGGGAAGAATTAATCGTCTGCTTTCCTTTCATACGACATGAACCACATAAAGACGACGCCTCCAAGAATTCTTCGTTGCCCGGAGAACGTCTTTACCGAGTTGTCACCTAGACACAATGTAAGATACACAGAGAGACCTGCATACTCTCCTTTGATAGGACAAGGACCGCACAGCAAATGGCGCGTCCAACACTTCTTCCATTGTTGCGTGTATTCGTTACTGCGGGAACATGTTTACCGAGCCGTTGCCTAGCGACGAAGTGAGAAATATATATAACTGAACAATTGCCTTGCAAAGGTGGGAGGGATACACGTACAGACAGACAATAATGAAGGGGGGTAAATTTATGAAGTATGCCGTTGAGATGAGCTCAGCTTCCATAATACGCATACTAAGTTTCATAAATATTGGTTCAGGCATTCAAAGGTTGATAGGAGGGGTACACAGACAGGTAGAAAGGCTGGATATCGCATAAGCCTACTTTATGACAGTAGGCTAAGAAGAGAGGAAAATATACAGACTATTTCGAAAATGTGGGCTATATACTTAAGTAGGCCCGTGACGAAAGACGTATATCTATCTACAAACTCTTCCAAATAGTAGTTCAGGGTGCATCCCCTCATCTCATCCTACACCTACTCTTCGGCTGATATTTAGGTCCTGAGATGACGAATTCGCACTGAATTCTCCTTGGAAACATTAAACGATTTGTGCAGTTCCTACCCAGAACTGAATCATCAATATCATCCATATATTTATTAATACTATTACTATTATTATGAAGCCGGGATTGCGTAGTCGGTACAGCGACTGACTATGGGGCTGAATTCGAGTCTCAGTAGGGTCAAGATTTTTCTCTTCTCCACGTCGTCCAGACTGGCTCTGGGTCCTACCGAAACTCCTATCCAATGGATACAGAGGATTCTTTCCCCGGGAATGAAACTTCCGGGGCGTTAAGTTGACCACTCACCTCCAACTAGTGCCGAGGTAAAGAAAATGTGGATCTATACATCCACTCCGCCATACGCCTTCATGGCGTAGTGCTTAGTTAAGCACAGGGACAACTTTACCTTTACCATTATTATTATTATTATTATTATTATTACATTAGTAGTGGCAGTAGTACTAGTACTAGTAGTAGTAGTAGTAGTAGTAGTAGTAGTAGTAGTAGTAGTAGTAGTAGTAGTAAGAGCAGTTGTATATCCTTGCACTCAATTCTCACAAAATATGCATCTTTAACCTCACAATTCTTGTTTCATTTACATCATTAAACCCGTTTTGTATGCAGAGGAACAGATTTCAGAATGGCGGTAAGCGTTATTACTTTTGTTGCTATTAGGCCAATAATTGGCTCAGTTACTACTGCTTCCAGTCTTCAACGAGTTTTCCGCATATGGTTTGAATGCTGTTATAGTAATGGGAATAGCACTTTAGGCAGGCATGGCTTATGTATTATTATTATTATACACGATTATGTACATGTCGGCCATAACTGTTTATCTATCTATCTATGGCTCTACAGCCGCTGTTTCAGTTCCTCGATCCTATACACAGCCGGTAGGACTCATTGGACGGGGGATCAGCCCGTCGCAAGGCCGCTACCTACACACAAAACGACACAAACATAGAATAAACGCACGCAGACATCCATGCCCCTAGTAGGATTCGAACCCACGATCCCAGTGTTTGAGCGGACGAAGACGGCTCATACCTCAGACCGCGCCGCCACTCTGACGGCAAAACCATGACTGTTTGTTCTGCAATAACTGCTCTTTCCCAGCATACTCGTAGGTTATAATAATTGTCTTCAGGGAGATGTGTGACAAACTCAAGAAGAACCGAGGTGGTCAAGGATAAGTACTACTCATTGGGAGAAGAGAATGGCATAGAAAATATCTGTTGGAAAACCGCAAGGAACGAACAGCTTGGGAATCCTTAGAGCTGCTAGGAGAATATTATTAAAATAAAACTTAAAATAAATATATAGTGTTAAGTTGTAGAGTGGATTCGTCTAGCTCAGGATAGGGTCAAGTAGTTGGCCCTTGTGAACATGCTGAGGGCTACCGACTTCTCATAAAGGGCTAAGCTACATGATGAAAACGTACGAGTAAAGGTATCCTCGTAACAGGCCCTGAAGGCCCATAGGGTTGTGAGACGTCGAGGCTCCCACATTTTCTCTAGACAATCGGCTTATAGATGGCGAGGTTGTCAGCCTTACGCCCAGGCCGCCTTTTACCCGCAGGAAGATTCCTGGTGCTAATTTCTGTTACATTCTGAGTCGACCCTAGGACTATAGTACATCTGGAAGGATTGCGTCAATTGAAAAAAAAAAACAATGACCTCATCGGGACTCGAATCCGCGACCTTCCGGTTCGTAGCATGGTGTTATCTCTAAAGTTTCATGTTTCTGTTACTGATATTATTATCGTCATTATCCTCTCAATCAACTGTTAATTTGCCTAATAAAACAAGCTCTGCAGCCCGCATAACTCGGGTAGGGCTGCTGCAGTTCAGACTGTCAGGCTGCCTGCTGCAGCATCAATCTTTCTGCAAATAAGAGGGGGGAAGAAGGGCACATGTCCACACCCAATGGAGGCACCGAGTAACGCCTCGAATCCCCTCTCTCGTTTCCAGTATTTTCCTCTCTAGTGTAACCTTCCTTAAGGATCAGAATTGTTTCAAACTACAAGATGACAGATTCTAAAACTAATATCCGGCTTCACGGGATTGGTCTAAATACATTAACAGAAACTTATATTAAAATCCAATAGTATGACGCGAAGATTTGTCGCGGTGTGTCATGTGGTGTGTGCGTGTAAACACGGCTCCGTTCTGGCCTTCTTCGTAAACATAAGTTAGAGGATACTTCTCAAAATCTACGTCTCCTAGGATGTGAATAAAATTCAGTTTTTGTGAAGTGCCAACCTGTTGCACGGCGCCCAGTCATCTGCAACAGCTGCAACGCGTGTGTGCTTCGATCGCTTACATTGTTGTGCCTGCAACAGCGACAATTATCGTAGTGTTAATCAGTAGGCATTAAAATAATGGATATTTAAAGTTAATAATTGTGCAGTTCTTTCTGGAACCTACAATCACAATTCTTTACAAATATACACATAAAAATATTTTGTTTCTATATCCGTTGAACCAAGACCACAAGTGAAGAATCAAAGTGTGGATTTAAATTTAAAGCATACACGACCTTTAACGCTTCCAAATAATCATTCGTATTATTAACTGCATAAGGAAAAGTAACCCTGAGATTCTAATTCTACATAAGTAACAAAATGGAGGAACACTACCTTTGCCAACTTTACGCACCCATCAACAACACACACAACAGATCCTTCACTTTCCCTCCAACACCTCCTTCACCGGCACCTCTAGCACCCCACTGTGACCCCCAGTGGTCAACATATCTCCCCCAGCCCCTGGACACGATGTTTGGATGCTCCCCATTCCAGACATCTGACCCAAACCAGCTATCTGACACTCCGGAACGCAACATGTACCAAAAGTGTGAACAGAAAACCAACTTAAACCAGGAATATATTACGTCACCGAATGGAATGGCTGTACTTGAAGGGGCCAGTCTGTCGCCTAGTAACAGTGGAGAAGCATCGGATAAAGATATTCAACCAAAATATACATTCCAGGAAGTGAACTTCAACCTGTTTCACAAACAAGACTGCTCGAATGCTGACACGTTCAAGAGATATCAGTATCAGATTCATGGTAGCCAATCTGAAATGTTATCGCACTACATGACAGAAAACGGAGAGACTGCGCTTCAGAATTCAAGAAAATGCCATCAAAATACACAAAAAAATGAAACAAAATTTTTGTTCAAACAGAGCTACTTACAGAATTCAGAAAATGAAGAAAATCAGTCTCCAGAATACTCAAATCGCACTGAAATTGATATAAACCATTTACAAGATCAGTTTGCATATCAGTCTGTAATATTACAAAGCAACGTAGACGCACATTCGCAACATGAACAAGGCGTCAGCAGCTTCGACAGTGACGTAATGATGCTACAGGAAGACGGAAGGATGTCTCATCAACAAATGACAGTCGATGACATCAAATCAATGCCGCTGAGTCAGGAAGATGGCTCTGGAGGTGATATCTTCGGGGCAGCCGAAGCTTTCAACCACACGACATCGGGCGGAGAGGGGGGATTCCCGCATTCGCAGACCTCGGCCTCTACACAAGAACTTCGTGAGTTCCTACAAGGCAAATCTCTCTTTTTCCAAATATATAAATTGACTGAATTGTTTATGAACATTTAATTTTCTTATTCGGTAATAATCGAAAGTCGCGATGTGTTATACAGTCTTCAGGACATGTTGGGTTCGAATCTTACCTCGGAGACCGTCTATTCTCACTGATAACATACATAGCTCTCAGCAGTTCCTCGGAGAAATGCTGACTAATACCTTAACACTAAGCACAATCGCCCCATTTCATATCTCCCCGCCTCTTCATTCACACTGCCATATGATTCTATGGGTCTATTCGCCTTGCTTAACTAATTGAGCACTACGACATGTGTGGGTATATAGATCCACGTTTTCTTAACCTTGGCACTAGTTGGAGGTGAGTGGTCAGCTTCACGAACCGGTCACTTCCCCCCCGGGGAAAGGAACCCTCGGTACCCGTTGGATAAGAGGTTGGGTGAGCCNCTCGAACTCCGACCCCTCGGGCATCCAGTCCGTAGCTAGTCGCTGTACCGACTACGCTATACCAGCTCTTACACAGTTGATAAGCTGTGTTAACTTAACGAAAAAGAACTAAGTGGTTCATTCAATTAACTTGTTCAGCACATCATGTAAAATGCATTTACATGAACAACGCTAGACTTTCCCCTATTAGTAAACATTTAATTAAGCTGACATTAACCTGTATAGTACTTATAATATACTACATGATACCAGAAGATGTGGTGAATAACCAAATAGAAATTTATCTCAATGAACTGACAGATATATAGACTAATTAATTTATGCCAACGTGTTGGAATTACAGCAAACTATTCAGGTTTCCATAGCCGAGCGGTCTAAGGCATGCACTGTCTTCGCTCGCTCGGAAGCCGGGATCGTGGGTTCGAATCCCAATCAGGGCATGGATGCTTGTGTGCGTTTTTCTGTGTTTGTCTACAGGTAGAGGCCTTGCGACGAGCTCATCACTCGCCCAAGAAGTCCTACCGTATGTGTAAGATCTAGAAAAACCGAAGTGAACGGAGTTCATGGAGGTAGGCCTAGGCCCACTGGGGCTGTAGTGCCAAGGGGGGGGGGAGATTCAAGTTTCCAACCAAGTAATAACTTAGCTCATTAACCATTAATGTCTAGTGGTCAGAGTTCCTGGCTACAGATCCAGAGGTCCTGGGTTCGATTCCCGGCACTACCAGATTTTCCGATAAATAGTGGGTCTGGAAGGGGGTCCACTCAGCCTCGTGAGGATAACTGAGGAGCTACTTCAAGGAAATAGCGGCTCCAGTCTAGAAAACCGAGATTAACGGCGGTGGGGATTCGTTGCACTGACCACGCTACACCTTCTATCCGCTAAATTTGGCACTAAGTTCGCCGAGAAGCGGCGGTAGCTCGGTCGGTACAGTTCGCTTGAGGACTAAAACCACGGAGTATTCTGGTTGTTGTCATGGTAGTGTCTTTGCTAATATTCGTTGCCGTGGAAACAGGTGCTAGCAAACCGCTCCATACCAAAATGACTTCCGCTTCTGCTGCTATTCCGGCTTTTAGGCAGTTATTGTGACCCCACCGCTGAGACCAGCGGGGGTGAGCCACTCCAATTTCTTATTCTGACCCCAACGCTGTCACCAATTTTGTTGTGTGGCACATTTGCGACATCCAAATTCCTGGCGCTACCAGATTCTGTGAGAGGGAGTGGGTCTGGAACGGGTTCCATACAGCCTCGTGAGGACAACTGAGGAGTTATTTCAAGGAAATAGCGGCTCGCGGACTAAAATAATGGAGTTTTGTTTTTTCTTTTTTTGTAATGTGTATCTCTTAACGATCAGTGCACAAACAAAAATTTATATATTCTAATAATCAATCAATGGAACAAAATTTACACTTACAGCAATTCATTTAACCAAATTTTATACTTTAAAATCAATGACCAAATTTTATCCTAAGAGTTTCTTTTTTTGCCTGCTACATATCGTATGTGTGTTGTTTGTTGTTCCATTATGGTAATGATATTGTGCTGTGGGGTGTCTGCGTGCTGAGCTCTTTCTTCGGAATATAGGTAATGTTTTTTTTTTTGCCTTCCTAATAAATGTGTGAAGGCTGAACACTTTGGAATTACCGGCTTTTGGACTTTTTTCATCGTCCGGAATTTTAGGTAATAGAGGACATGACGTTTCGGAAACTGGATCTGTATCCGTCTTCAGGTGAGAAAGGAAGACACCTACTCACTTGGGCCCCTTAGAAAGAGCTAATCTCAATCCAGCAACGTCCGTTGCTAGGGCAGCAGATTCTTAATAAACCCCGTTTCTTGGTAACGGTTCAGTAAACGTTTCCGCGGCAACGGACATGAAAGCAACAACAGAACTGCGTGTTCTATATGGTCAGGACCGAGATGTTATAACCAGAACAGATGAAGCAATGTGTCCTTCGCGGCGGCGCTCTGAGGCATGAGAGAGGAACAACAGCAACCTCAGACACACCAGGTGGCAGTGGCAGGTCCCGCCACAAAGGAAGCCAACGTCCCTGCGGCTTTACCCCAGCATGAACAGCAGGCAACAGGTCAGTCAGTTCGGGCTCCTAATATAAACAGTTTGCCTATGGATAAAGCGCTGAAAGTAACAGTCACAGTAGTACAGTAGACTGTGACAGAGTTTAATGGTGCTATGTTAGAGAAGGCTAAAATATTACAAAAATTATCGTAAGTCTCATGGAGCTAAATGGCCACTAGATTTCATACGCATGGTCCGCTGTACTGAGCCTGGACTGACAGAGGCCTTGTACATATTGTATATACATTTAATAGCATGTAAAATGTAAATTGTGCACACTGACAACAGACTTGCTGCTACTGACTGTGACCCTGGCAAACGAAAGAGCCGTCCTTTCCTCGGAGAGAGCGCTCCACATCAGCAAACCACCAACTGTCATACAGTAATAAAAATCTGGCCTTAAGCCCCAGATGGATGCTTTATTCGAAGACATACTGGACGACTGACCGTCGGTAGTAACATAACTTTGACTCTGACTTTGATTTTGACAATGTGTTCAGTTGTGGGGTGTTTGCCAGCGGGTAACGGCGTGACACAGAAGCTGAAGAATCTCCATTGTTAATATCCGTTACCAGGAAACGACTAGTGAGAGACTGAGAAAACATGACGTGTGCTCTATTGATTTTTAAAGTGTGTACATCGTTGTTAAGTGCTTGCAGTTTCGAGTCGTGTCTATAAGTGGTCAATAAATACATTCATCAATCCAAACCACGCCGATAGTCGCCTCTACACATGACAATATTTTGACGTGGATGTATGAAATGTGGTTAATATTTACCATGGGATATTACTCAGTTTGTGAGGATTTGGAAGGTATGTTTTCCCTTTTCAAAAAATACATAAATCTGAAACCAACAGAATAACTCAAGCGGACACTTGATATTTCTATGCATGTAATACGGAGCAAATTTAACCAATATAGCTGCCTGAATTCACTTTTCCATCAGTAACGTAGGGCATATTGGAGCAAATTCTGTCTGCATATGCCTCCTGTTAATTCCAAGCGTCTTTAGCAGCATGGCAATAAAATCGTCTGCAATGGACACATACTGTTGGTGTTATTACGTAGTTAGTTCTATATCAGACTCTAGTGGGAAATAGACAGAAACACAGTATACAGTGGACCCTCGAACTTCGAACGGTTTGTTGTTCGAACAACTTGAAACTCGAACAAAAACTCGAAAGTCGAACAAAGAATCACGTGGTCGTCACGTGGTCGTCACGCCTTGTAGACAAGTGGGGCCCAAATATCGCAGTTGCGAACAGGAGTATCAACCCGTTTAATGGCAGCATAATGTAACATTTCACAAAAATTTTAAAAAATATACAAACAAATGACATAGATAGGTTTCTCCCCAAAGAAAAATCAAGTGGTGGTAATGTTAATGAACCACAACCCTCACCTAGTGGATTCCAGATGAAAGAAGGGTAATTCACCTTCCAGTGAACAGTAATATCCCTCCTACTATTATTATTGTTTGACTATTATATAGTATTTTTATGTACGTACTATTATAAATAAAAACATTCAACTATTGAAATTAAATATACTTGTTTTATCATTATTTACAGATATGATATTTTGAAATATGCATTTAAAGGTTTTATATTGGGTAAATTTTGGGCGTCTCGTCTTTTGGGGAAAATGTATATGTGTCGATTCCACGTTCATGTAAATTGCCAGCAAAATTACACTGAAATTAACAAAACCTAAACTCACTTGCCATAATTTAGTTTCGATTTCCAATAGGAAATCTTATTGAAATCCATCCAGGGAGACAAAACACGGAGAGAACATTCCCTGTACGCGTTAATTTTATGCATTTTATGGCAGGAACGCTTACGGACCCTAGCAGAATGGGGAGAACAGTAATCCCACTTGGATCTTCGTGAATTTGCCAAATCACGGAGAGCGTAAGCGTTCAGGTACCACCAACTGTCAACATTCGGTTACTGTGGGCTTATGGTTAATATTTCGGACAGCTTCATGGAGACAATGATCAATGGAAATTAGGGAAGTGAACGGTCCCAGTCTGGTTTTATTCTATTTGCAACCGACAGAAGGGACTGAGGAAAAGAATGAACCACTGAACTATCCCAATTCGTATCATGATTACTAGAAGAGAGGTGCTTGGCGAGAGTCAGAGTCGGTCACCCCTATCAGACACAAACATAAATAAAATTTTGGCGTAAATCACAAACCGAACGGTGTAAATATTGAAATTAAAACTGCGCGTCTTCTGATTTGCTTACAACTGAGTGGACAGACAGCTTTCTAGAGGCAAGCGCATGTCCTCCATTTCAATGCACACCATCAATCAAAGTAGGAGGCGAAAACAATTTTCATTTCGAAACATGTACTACGTTTTGAAATTAATACGTTACATATGCCTACATATATCACTTTAAACAAGACATGAAATGGCGTACTACATAATGTGGTACACAGAATTGTCAACTGCAAAATGTTGGGGTTTATTAAAATCGGAAATACTGAAATTGAAGTTGGTGAAAGTATCCCATATTAAATTTCAACAAAATCCATATAGGATTTATCGATTATATGGAACATTCCATTATGGCCTTAGACAAATTAATCTTCTGTATAGACCAGTATGGCTCAGATTCGAAATTTCCCGAAATGTATTCCATACTGAATTTAGACAAAATATTCGAAAGAGTTTATGCGTTATATGGTAATGTCCATGTATAACCTTATATAAAATAAGTCTTATTATATACCAATGTGGCTGAAAATCAGAATTCCTTGATAATGTTTTTGTGAAAGACTCCCATATCGATTTTGAAGAAAACTTCTCAAGCAGTAGAGGTGCTGATATGATTTCCACATAAAGCAAGCTCTAGGTTCCAATTCTCTAAGGAAAGCACATTAATTGGAGTCTCTTCATCAATGCAAGCAATCTATGTTAGAAGGGCGCGCCTACTTTGAGGCCCCTCACCCTCGAGTAAGAACAAAGACTGAAGATGACCTGGAATATTCTTCAGGAACTACGAGAATGAAGAAAAATATCTAACATGGATACACTTTTCGTGCGAATATTTTGCTGGGCACTGCCCACTGACTAGAGGAAGTCGGTGGGTAGGAAAATTGTGTGATGGTAGCGGATGAACACGTGAGTGGAGCGACAGATCTTGTCTCACAACACGACAAATGTTGCATGCACTCTTTCTGTTTAAGGAATGGTACTTATTGGCGACATCGCCACCACTATGCGTTTTTCAATTTCGTATATTCCGGGAATATTAAAAAATTCTGTCCACGAAATTCCGCTTCGTGAACAGTGTGTGCTGCCGCTTCGGGTATTTTATGGGCTAATTTTTAGAATTTCCACAGAGAGCTTATATTTGTCTGGATAGACTATACTTTATTTTAGCCCACTGTGTAAGAGGTGCAGAATTATGATGCTATCACGCCCGACTTTGTGTTTAATGTGTCATCTGAACTTCTGTTCCAAGAACTAAACTATGATTCTTGGGTGAAGGTGAGGGGACCAGACCATCACATCTATCAAGGGAAGGCGGGGAGTCTGACGGTGATTAAAATCCAATAGAAAAATAGCATAAATCAAACGATCCACACTGATAACATCAAAGTAGCCACTGAAAACGATCATGAGCCAGTTCCAGACATTACCAATTCTCATAAAACGTCTCGCTCATCAGCCTTAATATAATTTTCCTATATCTTTATCAGTCTTTCAAGTGAACGTTTTCCAGGAGCAGAGTCGAAGACAGAGTTTTTTTTTCAAATATTCTCTTCTTTATTTTCGATATTTTAAAAAATCTACGTAAATTTCAATTAAGGTTGTAGACGGAATAATATATTAAATTGATCAAGATGTTACTGTTAAAAATTAATTAATAAATTAATGTATTAGTAGGACCATATTTTACCGGGAAGAAATGGAAACTCTCATTCATACATGAACAATAAATGTGTCATTAAAAACGTACAGGTCTTTGCAACACCAAAAAGACAGACGTTACAATACCGGACTCCAGGGTATGTTTCGAGATGACAATTCGAAATCGTGAAATATTAATAACAGAGCCATATCGTGACATGAACTAAACAACCAAATGAAATAAGCAATTTTCGACAAATTTTACATACGAAGTTGAAATTGATTTACATCGGAATTGACAAAATCTTGACGAAAGAAATAAAAGTAAGTAAAGCTATCCCTGTAACAGGCCGTGAAGGCCCATAGGGTTGTGAGACTTTGAGGGTCCCACATTATCTAGACAATCGACTCAAAGATGGCGGTAAGGTTGTCAGCCTTACGCGCCGGCCGCGCTTTACTCCCCAGGAATTTATTTAATTAATTCCTGGTACTCATTTCTGTTAGTGCGGCTGGAAGGATTAGGTCAATTGAAAAAAATTCAATGACCTCATCGGGACTTGAACCCGAGACCTTCCGGCTTGTAGCATAGTGCCTTAACCAACTACGCTACCGCGTGCCCCCGATGAAAGAAATAAATCATGAATTATAAATTTGATTAATAAACCGGATCGATTATACTTATGACTGAAATAAAACGGATTTTGATGCGGTTGGTACCTTGTTTTCCGATTCTCTCATGTGTGAGGCCGTGTGTATGCTGGGTCTTCTGTCGTCATTCTGCTCCAATAAGGCGGTAAGTTCAGCTGTAGTGCAGTGTGTGGATTGTTGACGGGTGTGAGTTACATAAAAATTGAATGCGCTATAAACAACTTGGAAAGGATTAATATGTTGAATACAAAGATGTTTATAATTCTACCACCGCGCTATAAAAATAGGTCACGTATAGCGAAAATTTTAAAACGTGGCCAGAAGCAAACAGACATGATATCTCGTCCTTGTTGAATGTCAAATGTGGGGATCAAGAGACCCACACCTTAACCGAATTCTTCTTCTGGCGAAAACTCCGAAAATAAATAATTTTATAATTTAGAGATCTATTTGCGGGTAGAAATCCCAGCAACGCCCGACTGCGTTAAACTTGATCATTATAGTTTTAAAGTTTCGTGCAGTCACCATGTTTGTAACTGTAAATACGTAAAAAAATACTCTAATGATGCATTACAACACACGACCTTCCATTTAAAATTCAGAGGAAATGGCTGCTTCAGTGGAGCCCGGCCCAGAGTGAGTCACTGCGCGTGCCCCTACAGACTACCGTGGAAACAATCTCTTCGTCTGTTTACGTGTATGCATCCGTGTTAAGTGTCTGTGAAAAAGGTAACTGATCAGATGCTAGCTCACTGTGCGGAACTGAGCCCGGGATTCTCTGCCAGTGATGTAGCATGTTATCCACTAACGTCAATAATCACAGATTACATGAAGTAACAGCAAGAAAGAGAAATTTTGAATTCTGGTGTTTTGGGATGCGACATCGTGTTATCATGTGGGTGGTTAACAACTTCCAGGAGAAATTTGCTGCCTACGCTTTCATCGTCGACGAATGAAGCAGTAATTCCTCTAGAACATTGGTAACCACGTACAAGACTACACGATGTCACAATCCAGCAAAGAAAAATCTAGATACCCAATGCGGCGAAAACTTCAAATTTCATAAAGAAAACAACTTTATGAAAAGTAAAAAAAAAAAAATTAATAAATAACAGACCGTGAAGGCCCATAGGGTTGTGAGACGTTGAGGGTCCCACATTTTCTAGACAATCGGCTAGAAGATGGCGGTAAGGTTGTCAGTCTTACGCGCCGGCCGCGCTTTACTCCCCAGGAAAATTATTTAATTAATCCCTTGTACTCATTTCTGTTAGAGGCAGAGTCGATCCCAGGGCCATAGTGCGGCTGGAAGGAGTAGGTCAATTGAAAAAATCCAATAATCTCATCGGGACTTGAACGTGCGACCTTCCGGCTTGTAGCATATTGCCTCAACCAACTACGCTACCGCGTGCCCCAAACAACTTCATGAGGCACTTCATAATTTTTACTCTGCACCGACTATGATTAGGGTGAGCAAATGAAAGGAAAATATGGAGAAATGTTTGTCCATCTATCTTCTGTGTCCTTGGGTGTGTTTAGTAGCAATGTGTGTGGAAGTATGGACCGGAGGTTACACAGTGACGTTACATCAATTGCAGCGGCTCTCTGACAATGATATGAGAGCCTGATCGCGTTCAGTGAACTTCAATAAGAGATCGAGAGCACGCAGCAGTAGCCATATTAAAGATAACATCCCGGAATTCGCCTATAGGGGCTCAGGAAAGTCACAGAAAGAAAATCTTCAGTCAGGGTAATTGGTGGCCCTGCCCAGTTTCGAACCCTGTACTTTCCAGGCAACTTGGTTGCAGATGAGACATATATGTTTCTGCTTGTATTGATATTTGTCTTCGTGCTGCAGAGTTGCAGAAGCTGGGCACGAAGCCCCGCAAGGAACGAACCGCCTTCACCAAGCTCCAGATCCGCGAGTTGGAGGAGGAGTTCGGGCACTCGAACTACCTGACCAGGTTGCGGAGGTACGAGATTGCTGTTGCCCTGGACCTCACCGAGAGACAGGTGAGTCCTAGCTCAACGCAAAGCTTCCCGAATCACCGCGAGTACAAAAAGATAGCTGATCTTTCGTGTCAGTATTATTGTAAGACCACTTAGGTGAAACTGCATATGTTGATATTCCGGTCTTTCTCGTCTTGTGAACATTCTGGTCCGTTGTCAGTATCAATAGCGTTATTTGAGGTATAGACATAGGTGTCTACCTCTTCTTACACAAGATATTTCTCAGGGAACGACAGCAACACGTCGAATTACTTCACGACTTCATGAAAAAATTAAAATCAGACTAAATTTAAGCAAGGGGAAGGTCCCAAGTTCAGATCTCCGCTCAGATACCGGTATCCGGATCTGAGGCTTTCGGGGTTTTCTTCCGTCCTTACATACAAATACTAGAATACCACAGCAAATCAGTCCACAGCCGCTTCTATTCACTTGCTTACAATTCATTATTCATCATTTATCCCATCGTTTGAACCTTCAGGTCGATAGACTGAGCCACTGACAGCGTCATTAAATGAACTATAAATAAATTTCACTTCAACCCTGAGTATGGAGGCTGTATGTTCCTCCGAAAATTTGTACCAATTTACCACGGTGCCATAACTCAGAAGACCAAAATATTAACATTGTAAAAGTATACAGTGTACAGTGAGCAGGCGCATTTGGCAGAAGGAATTGTGCAGGCTATGCTAACATCGGCGTGCTTCACTACTTCGCTATGATGAATTTCCCCTTATAATAAAAACGCAGTAAATTCGCTTGCAAATGTTAATGCAGGTTTATATTCAGGCTGGTGAGAGGTCAAGCTATAGGTCTATACTGAACGAACACACTCAACAGTAAGGCTCTTATCTGTCTTTGCCTCTGCGGTCCTTCTGTTGGGCCTTGACCGCTTCTTCAGTCTCTTCAGAAAAACACAAACAAAGAATAAACGCACACAGACATCCATGCCTTGCGTGGGATTCGAAGTCACGATTCCAGCGTTCAAGCGAGCGAAAACAGTTCATGCCTCAGACCGTGTGGCCAGTTCACTCTTATTACTCATGCAAAGAGCAAATTAAATATACATAAAATTGTCAACATATTGTGACATGAAGCCTGAAAGCTGCAACAGTGGAGGCAGAGCCAGGCGCTCATTGCTAGACAACGGCTCGGTAATCATGTTCCCACAACAACGAATATCGAATAAATCGCTTCATCTAATTCGGAACCCATTAATCACTTGTCGCGTTACCAGGATACGTGACAAGATATACTGTCACGATTTTGAGTGACTATCAACGGGGTTTTGGATTGGAGATTGGATTTATTGGCACTTACATGACGTGACTACATGTAATTATAGCACACTTTAAAAATCACTAGGGTATACACTAAGCCTTTTCAGTCTGCTGTCACTAGTCGTTTCCCGGTAATGGCTCTTAACAATGGAGATTCTTCAGTTTCCGTTTCCAGCTGCACCGACTAAGTCTTCTCTTCACAGTCTCTCTTAAAACTAACTTCTAAACTAGTATGGAACATGATCATGATTATCGAGTAGGTCATGACACGTAAAGGGGGTTGCTGTAGTCAACTGAAGGTATCTTATTATTCCTTAGAAAATCTGAGGAAATCCACGAAAATAATGAAGACAGCCGGCAGATTGACCATCGTTCGAAACGGGCGTCCCTCGAGTATGTCTCCACATGGTTATCACTAAACAAACTTGCTCGCAAGAAAAGAAAGTCTGTCCTAGCTTCGTGATCGATTTCTGTGTAAAACTTCAAAATTCACTTTCCTTGTCAATGCACATGAAACCACCCCATTAATTACCTTCCAGTCCAGAACGCGTTTGGTTCAATGAATGTTTATTTAAAGCTATTTCCTCAAGAAACTGGGTTATGTAATGTCAAACTGCATTAGAAAGATGTGAAAAGAAATCAGTCGTGGTTGGCGGTATCTGCCTGAACAAAGTGAGAAATACACGAAGAATTTCAATCAGAATAGCAGGCGCTCCGGTGAAGATTCGATCCCGCCACCTTCAGAGTACGAAGCAAAAGTTCTAACCACTTTATTTTAACACTCGATCGAGATGCTTGGCGAAATATTCAGCTGAAAAGTGTCCCATTTCAGTCGCTGCGTTCGACACCTGAGATTAAATTAATAGACATGTCGAATGTGTGGTACATGAGGAGATTACTGTACCAGCCGCCACTGACTATAAATCTGGTTATGTGGTCTGATTTCTGATAAAGAACAACTTGATAAACCGACATGACCCCTGAGCAAGGCGTTCTACTTTGTGCTGCGGGGAAAAGAAAGCTATTTCACACTATCCTTTCATTTTAAATGATGTTTTAATGTAGTATAAAAAGTGCTCGTAAGTCGCACAAAAAAATGTAATTAGGCACACAATCAATCGATTCTTCATAAAGAGGAATATTTTGTAGTAGAATTTCAAAAAGGCCGTGCCGTGATTTAGACGGTTCGTGGTTTTTCACCTCAGAGACTCGGATTCGATCCCGAGAGAATTCATATGATAGTGGAAGAAATAAATTTCTCCTAATTTTCTTTGGAATTCCCGCGTTAATCACCGGTGCACCATTTCTCCATATCAGAATCCTGAGTTGTGCGGGAGCCCTCATCACGCAGCACATTATCACATTCTCTGTCTTCAAGTTTGGACCTTGTCACAGACATAGTGCAAGGAAGTTAAGTTACACTACAATAACAAACTATAATGGTAATTTTGTTCCAGGTTATATCAAACATATGTCCTCTCATATGGTATAATTTCATACAGCTCAAGAATATTATGTAATTCACATCCAAGATCTGAAAGTTCAAGGGGCACTCACAATAGGCGTAATAACACAGATAAAAAAAAGTCAGTTCTTGCCAAGGATTTCCGACGGGTACTTGCCCATGGAGACCGCCTCTGTGATCTAGTGGCCAGAGTTCCTGGCTACAAAACCAGAGGTCCCGGGTTCGATTCCCGGGCGCTACCAGATTTTCTCAGAAGTAGTGGGCTGGAATGGGGTCCACTCAGCCTCGTGAGGATAACTGAGGAGCTAGTTGAATGGAGAAGTAGCAGCTCCCTACTAGAAAACCGAAATTAACGGCCGTGGGGATTCGTTGCGCTGACCACGCGACACCCTCTATTCGCTAAAGTTGGCACTAACTTCGCTGACAAGCGTCGGCCGCTTGGTCGGTATAGTTCGTTTGCGGACTAAAGTCACCAGGTTTCTTGTTTGTTTTACTTGCCCATGGAATTCATTGATATACTCGTATTACGTGCCGTTATTCAATATCCAGTACCATGCCTCTTCTACAGCAGTAGGAAATCTATGTCCCGCAGGCTAGAGTCACTTTTGAGATGACAGTCTGTCACATGGCCTATATAAGTGGGATTCAGTTCGGTGTATTTTCTGTTATATTCCACTAAAGCCTCCGGGTTCGCGGCCGAAAGTCTCGGTGCTGCTTCAACGGGTGTCCGGTTGAAATTTGGCACGAAGGCCGGTTATCATGACTGGTTCTGAAGTTCTACTAAGCACCTCCAGGGAAATCCTGTGATACTACCTCAAATTAGCTCACTACCGCCTTCTTTTACATACTTTCCAAATTATAATTCATCATCCTATCAGCCGATGCTATATTCATTCATTTATCATTGGCTCTACAGCCCTTTATTGGGCCCTGACCTGTTCTTCAGTTTCGTGATCTCATTTACACAGACAGTAGGACTCCTTGGACGGGGGATAAGCTGTCGCAAGACCGCTATCTGCACAGGACAACACAAATACAGTATAAACTCATACAGACATCCATGCTTTGAATGGGATTCGAACCAACGACCCCACTTTCCAAGCGAGAGAAGACAGTTCATACCTTAGACTTCGCGGCCACTGTGATCGGCTCCGATGCTATATTTTCTATGCTATTGCAGCGTTGTAGATAAACAAAAACAAATAGGCCTACATAAATAAACAGTTCAGTGCACGAACACGGAGTGTCTGGGGGTAAGTTCGTCCAGTTTTGACTTGACGGCTTTCTGTTTGGTAGGTGAAGGTGTGGTTCCAAAATAGACGCATGAAATGGAAGAGGACCAAAGGCGGATGCGAGAAAGGAGGGAGAAAACAGCAGGGAGCCCACAGGAAGAAGCAAGTGATGACCGGAGACACTTCGGCCCAGCGGCACGCGAGCGTCCAGTGAAGTTACCCATCGCCTACTTCCATAATTCTTAACATAATTTTACATAATAACATTCACTCCTTGTTCTCAGTTCTTGTCACGGTTTTCAGAACTCATACAGTTTCAGCAATTGTTAACGTTTGAAAGAGAGTTGAAAAACGAATTCTGAGTGTATTTCCTACTTAAAAACATCGACACGTACACTTGATTTAAGCATTTGTGACATGAAGGAACCACCCAACGTCAGCGGAACGGCAGAGATCGTGCAAAATGCTCGTACCGTGCAGCACTGCCCGTATTTCAGCAGATACTGTATTCAAGCCGCGAGAGACCAGCCAGTGATGACACGGTTCCCAGTAGCATAATATAACCATGCATTAATACTGCGACACTTCTCGTTTCGGAATAGCGCGGATGGTATAGCGACCGGCTACGGGCTGGACGACGGAGTGGTCCGAGTTCCAGTTCCGGTAGGGTAAAGAATTTTCCCTTCTCCACGTCGTCCAGACTGGCTCTGGGGTCCAGCCAACCTCTTATCCCCGGGGGTAAAGCGGCAGGGCCGTGAAGCTGACCACTCACCTCCAACTAGTGCCGTGGTCAAGAAAATGTGGCTCCATACATCCACTCCCCATACGCCTTCATGGCACACTGCTTAATTAATTAAGCACAGGGCAACATCCGCTTTTCTACCTTTTGCTATGACATTTCTCAGTTCGTGCATTTGAAAACGTGACTATTAATGAGTTAAGAACAAGGGAATGTGATAAACCACAGGCAGCAATGGTACAGCCAATCACAACTGTCTTGGTTTATATTCGGTACCTCTGGACTACTATACCACGACATATCAGTACATCCATAACAGAATTCTTTTTCTTTTTTTTTGTTAGCCATATAAAATCAGCTCCTGGACGGATTTCTAAAGCAAAATCCAAATCGGGTGCACACTGTCAAGTGAATTCCTTGCCATTTTTCTTCCCTCACTAGTAATTGCAAGAGGCACGGCTCCTGCTGCATATTCTGGAGGTCCCAAGTTTAAATCTCGATCAGGACGGTTTATCCTCACGACGAGATTTGAAACTGTGGACCTGCCGAATACGAAGCAGGAATGTTACTCACTCGACAGTGACCTTCCATCATGTTCTCGGACAACTGGATTTTTGTACGAAGACGAAGTGGTAGCGTTCTTCGCACTAAATGCATAAAAAGAACGTATAATGGGAATGTTTTGTCTTAATTACGGGTTGCATATTTCTTCTCCGAAATTTCTCAACATGTTTCGATTAATTTGGAACCGCCTCCATGGTCTAGTAGTCACAGTTCTTGGCTACAGATCCAGAGATCCCGGGTTCCATTCCTGGGAGTTCCAGATTTTCTGAGAAGTTGTGGATCTGGAACAGGGTCCATCCAGCCTCGTGATTAAAATATAGGAGCTATTTCAAGGAAATGGCGGCATACAGGCCACGGAATTTGTTTGTTTCGATTAATTTTGGTAATGGGGAGGGGTAGGCCGCGCCATAGCTCAAGCGGTTAGTCGCTGGCTTCCCACAGCGCGGCCCGGTTTCGAATGGAATTTGTGGTGGACAAAGTAGCGCTGGGGTAGGTTTTCTCCGAGTACTTCGGTTTCCCCTGCCAATCTCCATTCCACCAAATTCTCCATCATCATAATCATCCGGGGCAGGTACAATAGGTCAATCAGTGACCGACGTGCCGAGTGGACCTAGCTGGACTCCACCCGCCACTATGCGAATTGAAAAAAAAAATTAATGGGCAGGGGACTCCTACGTTGAATCTGGGTAGAAAATTTTGTTTTCTTCAATATAGGTTCAACATAATGGTTCTCTTTTTTTATGAAGCCCAATACTAGCTTCATTATATTTGTCAAAACCCGTAAAACCTCCAGAGAATCATATGCAGTTGTTAACTCCTACTCAAGTATACAAATTATGAGTTTGATGAGACGTGCATTTAAAGAATTTAAAGCAAAATAATTTCTCTAATTTCAGAATGATGTCGTAAAGGCATTATTTTACCCCTTTAAAAGTGTTTTATACTTGCAGTAAATAAATATAATGACGAATGTGACAGAAAAAATAGTAAATAATTCAATTGAAGATCAAGATTCAAATATTGACCCGGGAATCAGTTATGGTAAAAGGTAAAGTTGCTCCTGTGCTTAACTAATTAAGCAATAGGCCATAAAGGAGTATGGGGGGTGGATATGTAGCTCTATCATCTGTAACCTAGACACTAAATGGAGGTGAGTGGTCAGATTCATGCCCCGGCCGCTTTACTCCCGGGAAAAGAACCCCCCCTTACTCATTGGATAAGAGGTTTGGTGGACCCCAGAGACGGTCTGGACGACGTGGAGAAGAGAAAATTCTTGACCCTACCGGGACTCGAATTCCGACCCATCGATTGTCCAGCCCGTAGCCAGTCGCTACAACGACTGCCCTATGCCGGCTACTCCGGGAACCAGCTATGTAGTTGAAATTTAAAGTTAGGATCTACCGAATATGAAGCAGGAGTTCCATCCACTCCCCCGAGGCGTTTGGTTGAGAGAGAAGTAATCTGGGTCACACTGCGGGCTCCACATAACAGACAACCCAATCATAAAATCACAGCATTCCACTGAAAAATAAAAAGAGGCGTATCAAAAAAGGAGCTCCTCTAAATAAGCATTTTTCATGAAAATGACAGTTGATGACAGAGAGACTATTGCTAGCAGATCCATCTACGAGTAGAATTATTACTGCCTACAAACGGCGCGCGCAGCGTCTGTCACAGCACTGTGTTGCCACAATCTCATGCAGCAGCATTGCGATTTTATTGTATAGAAGAAGAGAGGGCGTAGCCCACGCGATGTGTTCCAGAAATACAGGGAAATTTAGCGCTAACCTTACATGGCGCTCACAGGCTGCCGTTATTCCATACACAGATTCCGAAATGTGTGTGACGTCAACGAGTGTTACTGTTAAGCAACGCCTCAAACCCAATTACGGCCGATTCTTAAAAGTCGGAATATCATCATTTTTTGTCACAGCGAAAAAACGAGTAGTTTGTAGGTTTGTACCGCACACTGCTTGTACTTACAAGAAGAAAATCAATAAAGCGCAGTCTTTTCATAAGGCTGAGGAGCAAACTCATTTTCAACGTCTGCTTTCCTGACTTCCCCATTCGTAATTCCTTCATCAGATTGCCAGGCCAGTCTGAAAGAAAGTTTGTATGGTGATTGATAGGTTGATGGACGTATTGTAAGTTGATTCAACTGCTGTCAATACAGGAGGAATCCAAACCTAACCTGAACAGTACTGGAAATGTGCAAACTGTGCAGGAATACACACACTTCCCGCATGTGTTCCGCGCGCCTTGGCATTGTGAATACGCTCAACTTTTTCTAATAGCTTTGATGTGGGCGTTAATAACGTTAAGTAAAAGTAAAGCTATCCCTGTAACATGCCGTTGAGGCCCATAAGATTGTGAGACGTCGAGGCTCCCACATCTTCTAGTAGATAGTCGGCTCACAGATGGCGGTAAGGTTGTCAGTCTTACGCGCCGGCCGTCCTTTACCCCCAACGAAGATTCCTGGTACTCATTTAGAGTCTGAGTCGCCCCAGGGCCATAGTGCGGCTGGAAGGATTAGACCAATTGAATAAATCTAATAACCTGACTGGGAATCAAACCCGCGCCCTATCAGCTTGTGGAATGTATGTACGTATGTAAGGGGTGGGCCATAAAAACCGGCCCCCGCACTGCGACCATTCAATGATCTATTGTACCTCCCCTTGGATTAGCCCTTTCTTAATCCTACACTCTTAATAAAGTGTAGGACCCTGCTTATGGGGGCGTCATAAAAGTCATTTGGTTGCATAAAAAACTGACCCAAGTGACGAAATTTTAAATAAGCCATGGCCTCACAGTCACACAGGATGTGTGCGGATGATTCGTTTTCCAACGGCTTGTGGCATAGTGCCTCAACCAACTACGCTACCTCGTGCCCCAAATAGCATTAAGTACAGCTCTGATTACTATGTGTAGGGGAAGCGGAAATCTAAGACTGTGGTTGCTTTAATTACTACGATTATTGCTGGTTAGCACAGTTACTGGATTTCGAGAGTGGCGCTAGCGTCTCTTCCCCCTCGCAACTTCTTGCGTACGCCATGTTGTCATTACCGATTGTATGACATATACAAGTTAAAAAACATAGGATTAGCTTAACTAATCTGCTGCTTTCACTCTATTGTGTAATTATTCCATAAGCCGTAGGACTTGAGGAAAAAATGTACTGTGTACTCCCTTTATCTCTACAAACTTGTTCTAAATAGTTTTCGTTCTTATGAATATTTAGGACGTCAAGCTCAAGCCGCTCACACGTGTAGGTCTTAATGTAAAATGTCGCTTATTTTGTCCAGCTTTAACAAAACTCGCTCAGCGATCTTAAGTTGTTACACGCGGAAGCAAAAATCTCACCCACACGCGTGCCTTTTTATGTTCATTGGACAAAGAACATATAACTAATTTTAATATTAACCTAATCTAAATTCTGTTCGAACTATTACAAACATGGTGTGTTAACAAAATAATGAGTTTAATTTTGTAGTGCGAGAACTGGGAATACTGCGGCGCAGAGATCGCTATGAGATGGTAACTACATCCCTCCTCTACCTTTAGACCAAGTTTCAATTTTCTAGGATGAACACATGTTGTTCTGTTGTGGTTCGTGCAGATGTATGTTTTGTTACAGCTTCACAATAATGGAGAAGAATAACCTGGAGGATTTTTGTGCAAGCAAATTTTGTGTCTAGTTGGGGCAGGGAGCTACCGATACCTGCGAAAAGATTCAGAAAGCGTCTGGTAACGGTTCTGTAACACGTGCTCAAGTATTAGGTGGCACAGAGACTTTGTAAATTGGCGAGAAACGGTGGAACATGAACCGCGATCTGGACGCTCCGCCCCTGTGAGAACAAGAACAGACGTCGACCGTGTGAGGGCTTTCATTTGTCAAGATCGATGTTTGACAGTTCGAATGATAACCGACGCACTTAATGAATATAGTGTTCGCCAAATCGTTACGCAAGATTCAAACATGAGAAAAGTGTGTGCAAAGACGGTTTCCAAAAAATTTAAACGACGGTCAAAAAGCCCGTCGAAACGAAGTGTCGGCAAAAACGCTTGAGCGGCTCGAATCTGAACAAACGGCTCATAACATGCGGCGAAAGTTTGTTTTTCGAACATGATCCCCAAACCAAGAGGCAGAGTGAGGATTGGCACACGCCACATTCTCCAAGGCAGAAGAAAGCTCACATGAGCAAGTGGAAAATCAAGACAGTATCAGTTTTCTTCGATCTTTACGGGGTAGCTCATGAAGAATTTGTACCACCTGGTGTCACAGCGAGTCAAAAATATTATCTTGAAGTACAGGACCGTCTGAGAAAGAGGGTGATGCGAGTTCGAACGGAAATTGCAGACGATTGGATCCTTCGAGCTTCATGATGACAAAGCGCCCGCACACACAGCAGTGTCACTTCGTGAATTTCTGGCGGTAAGGGCATTCCCGTGCTTCCGCAGGCTCCTGGTTCTCCAGATTTTCACCCTGTGATTTTCACTTGTTCCCAAAATTAAAACCGAGTGTCATGAGCTATCATTTTCAAACACTCGACGGCCTTCAGAAGGCTGTAACCGACGCCATCAAGACCCTAAGAGAAGCTGATTTCCAGTCCTGCTACGAGGCGTGGAAATTTCGCTGGGGCAAATGTGTTGCATCAGAGGTATCTTATTTTGAAGGGAACGATGCTGATTTAGACGAATAATTAAATGACTGATTTTGCACTAAATTAATCCATTACTTTTTAACACACCTTGCATATAATGATACAAACCCAAGATTCGGTCACAAGGAGCGTGCAAACGGTTTCTCGTTAAAGAGGTGCAAGAAAGGAAACAATGAAAGGTTTTCTGCAACCAGTTCAGCGGAAACTTAGATGAAAGGGAAGCAGAAAACTGCAAGACATGAAAATAAAGAAACGGATAGCGAGCAAGGGGAAGAGAATGAAGGTCTGTGTGACATCATTCCCCGGCCTCGGGTCCGTTAGATCCGCATAAGTAACGAGGTGTCTAGTCAGGGAATGGTCTGGAAGAGGCGGCCGCATCAAGGAACGCGTGCGCTCACCACTGTACCGTGTAGACCAGATCCGGCCAGCGCTAATGCGGCGTGCAACGCGGAACTCACTTCACATCTCTTCTAACATAACACGACTCGCAGCTGTGACATTCAAAGCGCACACCATCCTGTGTTTGAAACATTCCTATCTTCCTTCGTGCGGTTTCGGTTTCATTGTTATCTCGAGAACCGTCTCCTACACTCACTTTCTTTCTGCACTTTACAGTTCTGGTGAAAGTCCACGTAAGATCCTGCCTCTATGTTTAAAGATGGCAATCCCTCTATCAGCGGATGAGATGGTCAGAGTATATAGCACGAATTGGAAAGACGAAAAATGGACACAAGGTTTTGGTAGGGAAACCTGAAGGAAAGACGCAGTTTATGGGAAGATAATATTGTGATGTGTATACCCATTGCTAGGAAACGACTCGGAAAACACATTCCCGCGGAAGGAAACATACGCAATAGGAAGTCCATTACTAGGTAACGGATCAATCAATACGCTTCCTTAACAATACAGGCTGTTTTCTGCGTGGTCCGTGCAAAGTGGTTATAAAGTGGTTATGAAAGGATCTTCAGTAAATATGATATTGGGGAGTTTATCAAAATTTGTAGGTACAATACAATGTTGATTTAAATAGGACAAGGGGAAGAACTGAGTTAAAAAAAAAAACCTGCATTCATGGCATAAATTCACATCACCAGCACAGGGCCAGCAAAACCTTGGTGAAGTTTCACACAGATGTCAAGGAAAAGGTCATTTCATTTTTAGAGGACCTATAAACAATTTTACTGTTAATAAATTACAAAAATATTCCTTTCATGGTTATGATCAAAGATATAAATAACCACTATAGACAATAACACAGTTTGCCTTTGAACCACCTTTTCTAGAATTAAGCCTTTATTAACACCAGTGATACAATCCAAGTAAACAATCTGCATTGCAAGAAGTGAAAGTGATCATCATAGAAACCACCACTGACATGAAAGTAGTGTTAAATATTTGTACTGTTTTGATTGGCTTGAATTAGGTTTATTAAAACCCCAAATAAGAACCCATAAGCACTGTTGCACATATAGTCAGCTAATGAACACAACATAGACAATGTTCTCAATGTGCCATGAGCACATACCTAGGGACACCACAGTGCACTTCCATGCTCCACCATTGAGAGTACACGTATCATTTGCAGCTCCCTTCTATTTGTTTTTTCATTATCTCTACCCATGATTTTAAAATACATGCCTACCATCTTGCTTTTCATCTACTTAATGTTCAAGTTCACTGGTGAAAGAAGTTGCTCACCTTAATAAAATTCATTCAATTATCTATATATACTGAGTTTCCAAATATGAATATTAATTACCATCTTAATTTTCATGTTTGGCATCCTGTAATACATATATCAATATGTATATTGGGACCACTGATACAATTAAATAGGCAGTTACAATTCAATAAATAATTGATTCTATTGAAATGCATATTACAATTTAGAAAAAAAATTGTATAGCTTTTTAATTTTCATAAAATTCTTATGATACATGGCAGGAGATCCATCACACCATGCAGTTCAGCAATGAACATTCTTGCATTTGTTTACTTATACATGCCTGGACAGTTGCAGGACTGAAACAAAACATTCATCAGCACATAGGATTTGGAACAGTATAATCTTGGGGAATGGGATAATGAGCCTTCGCATTTCATTAAAGGTGGGAAAATTCTTGACTAGCTCAGCAACTATTACTTTCTCCAAAAGGGCTCTACTCCATGAAATTAGTTAATAACTTTATGAAATTAATGCAACCCTAAAATATTTGTCATCCTTCATGTGCATGGCAATAAAAATTAACTATTAGGCTTATTTTGGACTCTATTCATCGTCTGGTATATATAAGACAAAAACCACAACGTTTCGGAGACTGGATCTGTCTCCGTCCTCAGGTGGATGGGGCAGGATAGACCGACTCAGTTGGGCCCGTTAGAAAGAGGTAGCCTCAATCACTGGACCCGAGTAGGTCTATCCTGCCCCACCCACCTGAGGACGGAGACAGATCCAGTCTCCGAAACGTTGTGGTTGTTTGTCTTATACATACCAGACGATGACTAGAGTCCAAAATAAGCCTAATAGTTCTGTACAGCACAAACCATCATCAGAATCCTTTCAAGTCTATTAATAAAAATTAAACTATGTAGCTTCATCTAACTGTTAAAGTGTGGTAATGTGCACCCAGTCTTCACCAATCTACAGGCACTGAACAGAGCAGAGCATGATTCTGCCAGCAGAAACCCTTCTATAGCTGTAGGTTTTAACATCACAAATTCAATATTTAGTTGGGTAAGTAATGTCGGTAATTATATATGAAACACTTTATGTCATATTATAGAATGCTACAATATATCAAATATTCCATCTGACCTTTCTGGTCATATCTTTTACCTTGTGACAATAACAGATTTAATGTTTTGAAGCGAACTACTATACCATACATTGCATACTGTTATGAGCAAGAGACCTTTCAGCAGATTCAATGTTTTGAAGCGAACTACTAAACCATACTAGCATAATATTATGACCAAGACATATTTCTTACAAACAGGTGCCCTGTCTGCCCTTCATTACTTTTTGTGGGTTCTAGGGGCATATGAAAAAGAGACACTTGACATCCCACAGTAACGTGAGCTTCCCCTTGGGTCAAAAATTATTACCCATCAAGGAAATACATGAGCCCCATCCACAAAAGAGGGAGAGAGAAACTTGTAGTTTTCTCCCTCATAATTTGAATGGGAAGTTAAATAATATATTTACCCATATACTGAATCACCCCCCCACCAACACATTAGGTTTCAATTTAAAATAAAAACAAAGACAAAATATACATATATTATTTTATTATTATGTTGTTGCTAATGCCCAAACTCAAGGATCATGACATTTCATACTAATTCATCATTGAACTTTGGAGATAGGTTCTTTTTGAAAAATTCTTCTTTAGCCTGTTTCTTTATTCTGGGCGAAAATACAGATGCTGGGGATCTGCATTTCACTTCCTTGGAGGCACTGGGTTGTGCCTTTCTTTTAGAAAAATTCTTTTCTGCATCAGCCTTCACTTTCTTTGCACTGAGAGAGAGTATGGAAGCTGGTAAAGACCTCCGCCTCACTACCTCAGTAGCTCTGGGTTGAATCTTTCTTTTGAAAACATCCCTCTCTGTGCCAACTTTCATTTTCTTTACACTGGGAGAGTGTATGGATGCTGGTAAGGACCTGCGCCTCACTTTCTCAGCAGCACTGGGTTGAATCTTTCTTTTAGAAGAATCCTCCTCTGTGCCAACTTTCACTTTCTTCATACTGGAAGAAAGGCTAGATGTTGATAAAGGCCTGCTTTTCGATACCTCACTTTCTCTTGGTTGAATCTTTGTTTTGGAAAGATCTTTCTCTTTGCCAACTTTCACTTTCTTTACACTGGGGGAAAGTAAGGGCGTTGACAAAAATTTGCATTTCATTACATCAGACACACTAGACTGTAGATCTTTCCTGGATGAATCCATTCTTGCTTCAGCTTTCACTTTCTTTACACTGGGAGAAAGTGATGACGTTGAGGATCTGCGTTTCAGTACCTTGGTGAAAATAGGTTGCACCCTTCTTTTGGAAACATCATTTTCTGCAACAGCCTTCACTTTCTCTATCCTAGGAGAAATTACGGATGTTGACAATGATCTGCGTTTCAATACCTCAGCATCACTATGTTGAATTTTGCTTTTAGAAACACTGTTTTCTGCATCACCCTTCACGTTCTTTATACTGGAGCTTCTACCAATTGTTGAGGGTCTGTGTCCCACCACCTCAAGAACATCAGATTCTACATCTTTTTTGTAAATATGCTGTTTTAGTTCAGTTTTCACTTTCTTTACATTTTGGGAGAGTGCAGACATTGATAAAGATTTGCGTTTTACTACACTAGACACATTGGATTGCAGATCTTTGGAAACATTCTTTCTTGCTTCAGCTTTCAGTTTGCTTACACTAGGAGAAAGTATGGATGCCGAGGACATGCATTTCACTGCCTTTGTGACACTAGGTTGCACCTTTCTTTTAGAAACATCATTCTGTGTTTCAACATCCATTTTCTTTACAGTGGGGGAATATACAGGTATTGATGAAGATTTACATTCCACTATATCAGCAACACTGGATTGTAAATCTTGTTTGGAAACATTCTTTCTTGCTTTAACTTTCACTTTCTTTACTGTGGGGGAAAACATGGTTGCCGACTTATATTTGCGCTTCATTACGGGGGTGACACGTCGTCGCTGCAATCTTCTTTTAGAACCATCCTTTCTCCCTTTAGCATTCACTTTCTTTATAAAGGGGGAGAGTACAGATGTTGATAAGGATCTGCATCTCGCTGCCTTTCTTTTGGAAACTTCCTTTCCTGCTTCAGTCTTCACCTTCTCCGCACTATGGGAAGTTACAGGTGCTTGTAATGATCTGTGTTTCACTACTCTGATGACATTGGGTTGCAGCTTGAACTCTATCTCATTATCACTTTCATCAATCTCAAGTACGGGATTCTCTCCTGTCTTGAACGTGTCACTATTCAATAATGCCAGTGAGCCACCCTCAATCTGGAACACAAAATCGATTACACTTCTCCATCCGCTAATGTAATGGGTCACTCATGAGAATAAAAGATGGGGAAAAAAGTGGTCTATGAACTGCAAAGATCTTAAAATTGTTGTATTACATCACATAATACACAAAACATTATCAAGGAACACTATATATGCAATATAAGGCATACATACAATGAAAGCTTCACAAAGAATATGAGTCAATGACATACAAAATACTTACACATACAAAATTGGTATACAGTGTAAGAAATTTCAGAACACAATTATACATTTTTAGAGACTGATCCCATTTTGTGCTGAATTCTCCTGAGTCAGCTCATCTTCAAGTATCACAACACTTATAAATGAAAAAATAGATACAATGAGCAAGTAAAGGTAAAAACAAAGTTGTGTCCCTGTGCCATCAAAATGTATGGGAGAGTGGAGGTATAGCTCTGCTATTCTTGATCTCAACATTAGATGGAAGCAGTCAGCCTCACATGGCTGTTTTACTCCCACAAAAAGAGCCCCTCTGTATCCAGTGGACAACAGGCTGAGTGGGCCCCAGAGCCAGTTTGGACACTGTGGAACAGAGAAAAATCTCTTGCTCCTGACAGGAATCAAACCTTGGTCATCCAGCCCACAGCCCACTGTTATATACCAACTGTGCTATCCTGGCTCTACAAAGAACAAGTAACATTTCAAATAAATTCCAACTCCATGTTCGCATAGTGGGGGGGGGGAGTCCAGCTGGGTCCATTCGGCATGGCAGGCACTGATTGGCCTATTGTACCTGCCATGGGTGAATATGATAAGAGAATTTGGTGGAATGAAGATTGGCGGGGGAACCGAACCACTAGGAGAAAACCTGCCCCACCGCCACTTTGTCCACCACAAATCCCACTTGACCAGACCTGGGTTCGAACCCAGGCCACCACGGTGGGAAGCCAGCGACGAACCGCGTGAGCTATGGTGCAGCCCAGCTCCATGTAGTAAAACTGTTAATTAAGTATATGTGGATGGTGTTTCAGAGGGAAATTAATTTTATGCTGATAATTCCCCAGTTCCTGAGTTTCTCTGCATAAAGGCGTTTCATAAGATATAACACCCTCAGGCATTATTAGAGGCATTGTAAAAATGTCATTCCATTACAACCATTAATTTTAGTCATAAACATTTTATCAGCGAAATGTAATGTGAAACTCCCATCATGGAAAATGACAAGGAACCATTTAAATACCTATTAGTAGTCAGTTCTTTCCTAAATCTGACTCAACAAGGATTTAATTATATGACCACCTCTGCATTTAAATTACTTCAATGTGACACTATAGTAGAGTTCTTCTATTATGAGCTTGAACTTCACAGCAAAATACAAAATTCAGTCACAATAAAGGGTTGGGGTTATCCTTCAGCCAAGGCCCGTAGCCATTTCTTCACAGTCGTATGAAACGTTTATATTCTGAGCATTTCAGTGCAGAGCAGCACTGGGATATTCTACCATTCAGCCAGAGAAAATGAGTGGTGAGAAACAGACAACAAACTAAGCTCAACCTCTGCCCGATTTATAACGTCAGTTGACAAGATTTGTTTAGATAGACTTGAAAGGATTCTGACGATGGTGTATACTGTACTTCTTTTGGCTTATTTTGGACTTCATCCATCGTCTAGTATGTAAAAGACAAAAGACCACGACGTTTCGGAGACTGGATCTGTCTCCGTCTTCAGGTGGTCCAGTGATTGAGACTAGCTCTTTCTAACGGGCCCAACTGAGTAGGTTTATTATTCCCTACCCACCTGAAGACGGAGACAGATCCAGTCTCCGAAACATCGTGGTCTTTTGTCTTTTATATACTAGATGATGGATGAAGTCCAAAATAAGCCAAAAGAAGTACAAGATTTGTTTAGTTCAGCTATGTACCACATGACTCAACTGGAATTGGTTGAGAAGCAGACGACAACCAGCCCATTCCACATCCCAACCTTCTGCACAGCATTCTCCTGATTGATTTTCACCCAATCTTCACGACAAATGGAACAAACTACAATGTAAAATTTTTAGCACTAAAAGTCTGTGCTAAGCTTAACAACTTTTACTCAGAAGTCACTAGTTTTGCATCAGATCAATAACAACACTGGAAAGGCCAGATAAGGTTATGACCTCTGTAAACAATGGACAAAGGTTTATAATCCTTCTCAGAATAACACAACACAGTATCTTATGATGCTGTTTGCTCATACTTCAGTGACGCTCACTAGGGTGTAGCACAAATATTCCTGCAATAATACTGACATTTTTGCAACAGAAGAATTAAAAAGTATTGTAACAGCTTCAAGGAAACATATATTATCTTACAAATTCCATCAAAAGAAGTGCATACATTACCACATGTTTAAGGGCCTTCACCCAAAAGCACTGGAACATTCACAATGATGAAAAGATTAATATAGTTCACAAATGCTTCTTTTACAGCCCTTTCAACACAAGTCATAATTGTCTTTCCATATTTCATACAATTTTATATTATTCTGTGGAATGAACACAGAAATATTAAATAAATTAAAAAAATAATATGAAATTGTGATCTTCTGGGTCACAACACAGTAGTCTTCAAAGCAGTTACCAACATTTCTGAGAAACCTGCTGCTTCCAGCTTTATGGTATAGTTATTAAAGTTGGGATGTGGTTGGGTTTGATGTGGATCATCAGCAAAATGTTGGAGGAACTCCGTCCTACAAACATGAATATGAAACACTGATATATTGGGTTTTTGGACTTTATCCATCGTCCTGGTTTTTAAGATAACTAATAAAAACATGACGTTTCGGAAACTGGATCTGTTTCCGTCCTCAGGTGAAGGAAAACACCTATTCTGTTGGGTCTGTTAGAAAGAGCTAGCCTCAATCACTCAATCGAAACGTCGTGTTTTTATTAGTTATCTTAAAAACCAGGACGATGGATAAAGTCCAAAAACCCAATATATCAGTGTTATACACCATCGTCAGAATCCTATAGTAACTACATGAATATGAGAGATGTCATATTTGCTTCTAATCCGCATTCAAAACAAAAGAAGAAATGATCTGAAGGATAAGGCATGTTTTTCCAGCTGATTCAGCCTCCCTCTACACCAGCCCTGAATAGGACTCTCCTGTATAACGGCCCAGAAAAGGGCTTTCCTGTCCCCAATCCCATTTACTGAACACAGCTCCATCTTCTCTCTAATTCCTGGCTCTGATTAGCCTATCTTCCTGTTCTGCTGAAGACAATCCCTCTTATATTCTAATCACATTTCAGCTCTAATAATGTTATTCAGAAATTGCAGCCAGCAGGTTTCACTGAAACACTAGGGACAAAAGTAGATAATGCCATTAGCCAAAGGACCACAATCTAAATTCTCTTCGGCGTAAAAACTTCAAATCTCATAAGGAACTATAACTTACATTTGAAGCACAAATTCCATACCTTAGCTAATGCCAGATACATGTACCTAGAGTTTTACACAGTTCTCCCCTGCCTCTTCAAGAAAATGCTCAACAGTCCTCATTCCAGAAGATCATATACAAAATAAAACTGATTTCTTGTGAAAGAGAATCCTGTATGATGGCACTTACCTGGCAGTCCAAATGAATGCCACTCTTCTCCAGCTGTTCCTTCAGTTTATTCAGGCGTTTGGTTTCATGTAACAATGTTCCCACTTCTTCTTCTGGTGTGAGCACTTTGTTAATTTTCTCGATCCATTTTTTTTGTGACCTGCTCCTTGGACAGTTGTCAGGACGAATGTGCATATTCCTAAACATTCCCCGGTGCATACGCTCTCCAGGAATGTACTGAGCTGCAAGAAGAATAGTACATTCAGGCTGCAGACAAGTGTGCAGAACAGAGAGATAATCTTCGGAGACTACAGAATACAGTGTCACATGTAGTGGTGTGACTATTTGATGGGGCTTGGATTGAATGACTGGATTTATTGCACATATACACTCCACTTGTAACTACAAGTTAATACAGTATTATCATTGGTCTGCACACTTTATGGTTCACCGTTAGACACATATTAGGGTTCTCAGTCTTCACTAGTCATATCCTGGCAAACAGATTTGAATACAGTAATTACAGCAGTCTCACTTTAACTGCAGCACACATGAAGTCTTCTTTCTACAGCCTAAATCCTTTCTCTCAAGCATCTTAGACTGCCATCTCAAGAGACTCTCTCAATTATTATTCCAGCTGCCTTGGGATCCTCATTGTACAGCCTTGGGGTGGATCCAACAGAAAACACCGTTTCCATAGTTACAGCTCAACAATACCTTGACTGTTGCTTGTCTATTCATTGCTGTGGGAACCTGTTTATTGAGTCTTTGCCTAGCAATGAACGTCTACTATGGTTCCACTATTCTGGCTTTAAGTTGTCATATCACAAATACCAAAATCCATGACATGCGCAAATAAAAATGAAGGTACAGGCATTAGAATATATTTAAAACTTCAGAGTTAGCTCTATAGATCCAAGTTTGAGAATGTGAAGGAGCAGAAGGAGAAAGAAAAATACATCTATTACTGGTATTCTGAACTGAAAATAGGGATAAGAGAGCCATAAATGGGCAACATCTCAAGGCTCATGGCACTTTTGGTATTAATGTGGAATAATTATAATGGTGTACCTACTGATATGTCCACAGCAGATCTATGACTGCATGAACCATATTCCAAACTTGTATTAATATTCACTGCGAAGTTAACTTCATTGAATATTTAATTAAATATCACATATAACATAAACACAACAATCTTTCAATAAAGAACAGTGTTATTTCATACTTATTTCTGTGGGTGACATGTTTACATTTCTTACCATTATGAGGCCTGAAACATCAAATGCATGGGTATAAATATTAAACATATTATTTAAATAATATTTAGTCTAAACAATTTTACCAATAATAGAAATTTTTAAATTATTAAAACCATAAATGGATATGAAACATAAAACATGTAATGTTCAAACCTGGAAAAAACATTTATTTCTTGACATATACTCAACCAACACTGGTACACCTGTCCCATCGCTTTACCAGTGCATCAAAACTCACAGCATAAAATTCTTTTGACTGCTGTCTCAGCCACTTCCATACCTCCATTCTAGTCTTTACATTATCAGTAAAATGTTTGCAACCAAGGTGGTTTTTTAGCAGACCAAATAGATGGAAGTCACTGAGGGCCAAGTCCAGGCTGTAGGGTAGATGTTCAGGAAGTTCCCACTGTAATTCTTAAATTCTCTCCTGGGTTATTCAGGCTGTATGGGAGCTGACATTTTCATGATGAAGCAGAACCACTCTTGCCTGTTGGCCTGGAAGTTTTCTGGGAATTGCATTTTGAAGCTTCAACAGAACTTCACAGTACTAACTTCATCTTTACCATCAGAGTACACAGAAGCTGAACCTTCACCAGCAAACATCACATAGAAACCGAACTTTATGTAATGAGGCAAATCTTTGTCGCAAGGAAATGGGACGTGGTATTTGACAGGTCCTACATGCAGCAAACCTCCATGGTTTAGTTCTTGTAATGAGTACAGTGAACAAGATATGAGCTGAACTACTGGAGAACAAGGGTTCAACACCTGGTACAGGCAGAGACTCTTCACCACTATATCCAGACCAGCCCCTGAGCCCCCCTCCACCCTTTTCTCCTATACAATGGATACCAGGGATTCTTTCCCTTATGACAGAATCCACAGTTTTACCACGCTTCTGAAAGTGGGCTAATAACACTCCCTAGGAATCCAAAAACATTGTAAGCATAATCCTCCCTGCTGATAGCACAACCTTAAACTTTTTTGGTTCAAGATGACCTGAGATGTTTCCATTGCACTGAAGCATACTTTGATTTGGGTTGGTAGTGATGCGCCCATGATTAGGCCCTAGTAACAATCCTGTTGAGCATAGCTTCTCCTTCATCTGCATACCATAAGAGATGTTGCAAGAAAAGAGCCATCTGCTTCATTTTTTCTCGATCATTCAGTTCTCTGAGCATGCACCATGCGCACAACCATGCATTATGCTGTATGCTAAACCAAGGGAACACACTAGTGCAGCTGCTAGACTCTCTATCGTTATCCTCCTGTCAGCCTGAATCAACTCTTCCACCCACTACACAGTTGCTTCTGTCGTGTTCTCAATATGGTGACCTGATCAGGTATCATCTGTAATTTTTGAACAACCTTGAAAGAATTTCTTGACCCAGTTGCGAACCACTTTACACAACAAACACTTCCCACCATAAACAGAAGATATTTCTTTATGAATATCCTTTGCATTGAGTCCTTCTCCCCATAAAAAAATGAAAAACAAAACAATGCTCTTCGATAATGTTATATTTTAGCGTCCTGTTGCACTGATTTTCATCCATGATATGTATACAGTGGCCATCTTGTAGTGCACTCAATTTCACCTGTCACTTCACAACATGTTTCGGCAACATAGTGCCATCATCAGGTGTCCCAATTACGTCAATCTGTTGCATTGCTTGCCCTCATATGTTTTCACAACACCATTTAAAAAGTATTTAAAAAGTCCGTATTTGTCAACTATGATAAATTTACACTTGCTAAAACTTGTTAAGATAATTCATCTTATTTGTCTTAATTAAAACTTGCATGTGGTTCGTTCACTACCGGCTCGTTTTCCTTATTTTCTGTGTAAACCGCGTCTTGTGATGTGTGTTCCCTTCTTAGCTGCGAGTGTTGTAATCACAACACTCACAGAAGCGAGTCCTGGGTAGTCATGGAAGAAGGCTTCAGCTGAAGATTTATTGTGAGTTATCATAATCTATTGTGGATATGAGTGATTGTACAAGGAGGCCAATAAATCCAATCATTACATCTGAAACCCCGTTATTAGTTGCACCTATAAATTGTGACAATAATAAATCAACTAAATTCTTTATTTATTTATATTCTTTCTCAACAGCACAAAGGACAATTATAAAGTAATCAGGAACAAAGTCACAGATAAAACAAGGCAACATGCATCATTTCATCAATAAGCATTCAATTAGGGCAATCACCCCAACCATGATGCAGTGTGGGTAAAAAACCACACACACTTTAATCTTGAGTACAATTGATATTTTAATAATTAAGAAGTACAAATTATAAAACATGATTAAAAGAAACAGTTTCTGTTCCAGATATGTCAATGTCCCAATATACAACATTTGCACCTGAAGTGCATCTAGCAGGAGAGATTTACCACAACAGCAGACAGTGAACACAGATAACTCTCTAATATATAAGCAGGAACTTGAAGATCAACAGTTCCAAAAGGACAAAATTCAGAATCAAAGTAAACCGAATAAAGCACAGAGCATCAAGGTGTGCAATTTTAATTGCTCCGAAGAGTAAGCACAATGGTAATGGACACAGGAAGAGAAACAACTAAAACAGAGGGCTACAAAATTTTTCCAGTTCACTGGCATCAGGAGACATAACAGAATTCCAAACATACGAGTATGAGGTTTATTCAAGTTTATATCAAACTAATGTAAAATATAACATCTACATGGTAGATTTGACAGATGAGAAAGAGAAAGTTAACCTGAGAACTAGACCCAATAACTTTTTCTCCCCTCCTCTCACTCCCACTTTGGAGCATACAATTGATTTCTCAGTTTCTTCATTTTACAGACGGTAAGACTCCTTGGACGGGTGATAAGCTCGTCACAAGGCTTCTACATAAACATAGAAAAACTCACACACACACCAAACATCCATGCCCTGAGTAGGATTCAAACCAACAATCAAGACTCCGAGCAAGTGAAGACAGTACATGCCTTACTCTGCTCGGATACCGTGATCAGCCCCAATAACTTAATACAATGATAAATATATAGTTGACATGATTAAGGAAATACAGCTTATAATCCAGAAATATTCCCACGTCTGTAATAGGGTCAGTACAGGATACAGACAACTGACAAAGCATACCTTTCAGGAGCCTACCGCACATGAGATAATTGTTCATTGTCTCTGCCACCACTTGTGCCACCTCAGAATATAAGAACTCTATGAAAGCATATCCTTTTGGTCTACCATTCTGCAAAAGGAATTAAAAACATAATCATACAAATGTTCTCCAGAATTTTTTCACTTAGCTCCTCAGAGTCTTAGATTATTTAATGATGCTATGTTGACTGCAAAGATTATATTGCATTAAATGAGGTGGGGCTGGCAAATAAGGGTTTAGAAGGATAAGCCATTGCCTGGTTGAAGGTTTTTCCAGCAGTAACAAGCTTACAAACTCAATGAAGAGACACATCCAATGAATGCCAGAAAAATTATTCAAGTCTTCGGTTTCTTCACTATGAACAATGTAACTACTGCAAAAGCATAAACACAAGGAAAGACATTTGCAAATTAATACCAACTAAGTAACAATTTCTACAGTGAACATATACTATATTAACACAATTAAGATAATATAACCTGACCACCCACATCCTAAAACTAAGTGTGAGCACCTGAGGGATTTCAATAAACTTCGTAACTTCTTGTGTGCAATATTGGAAATGCCCTTCAGTTCTGTACTGAAAATTATGCAAGGTCTTCAGGAATAGATCTTCACATAACATGTGACTGCACTGTATATAGTCTGCTGTAGCTCAGTTTGGCATGTTGACACATGCAGACAAATTCAAATGTAGAGAGTTTGCTCAGAAAATGCTAAGTGTGTCACTATAAACATGGATAACATTGAACAAGAACTATTCGTGTATCAAATATAAGTTTTCCAAGTGAATGTGTATTACAGAATTTATAACAGTCACCAGGTTATAAAAGCTGGTATACTATTTTAAAACAATATTTATAATCACAATTTTACACTAAAGTACATTTTTGCAAATGGGAGTACAAGACACAGTACATCAGCTAGCCATAGACTTGAAGAAAGCCTATGATTCGGTTAGGAGGGATGTACTGTACAATACAACACAGAGAGTTTGGGGTACCCATGAAACTAGTTAGGCTGATTAAAATATGTTTAAATGAAAACTATATTAAAGTCTGCATAAGTAAATTTTTGTCTGTTTCCTACTCAGAATAGTCAAAAATAAGTATATGCTTTATCGCCATTGCTTTTTAATTTTGCTTCAGAACATGCCATTAGGAAGGTTCTGGAAAATAAGGTGGGACTGCAGTTAATTGGGACACAGCAGCTTCTGGTCTATGGTAAAAAAGTAAAGCTCTACTTACTCTTGTTGCGAAATTCACTGTGTGTGACAGATTGTATGTCCTTATTGAAGAGTTTACTTGTTTTTTCTGACTGCTTTCATTTAAATAGTTCATGTTTGTGCCTTCACAGATTATAAACTCAGACTTTGGATTGTACAGATAATTTAAAGTTGCATCTAGTCTCCTTAGATATTCATTAACCTCTCCTGAAGAGGATCTAATTAGGTGAGACGTTTTACTTACTAGCTGCTAAGATCATTTATATTAGAATGTGATAATAAGATGGTAGTATGTAAGTTTTGAGGTTTTCACGGCGATGACAATGAAGAAAGTTGTCTTCTGGGTTTAGGCACCGTGTATTCTTCGTTTTGGCCGACGTTTCGGAGGAACGTAGCGCCTCCATCTTCAGAGCAGT